TAAGGGGACATGTATACACTGTCAGGGATAACAGTAAGGGGACATGTATACACTGTCAGGGATAACAGTAAAGGGACATGTATACACTGTCAGGGATAACAGTAAAGGGACATGTATACACTGTCAGGGATAACAGTAAAGGGACATGTATACACTGTGATGGAGAACAATAAGGGGACATGTATACACTGTCAGGGATAACAGTAAAGGGACATGTATACACTGTCATGGATAACAGTAAAGGGACATGTATACACTGTCAGGGATAACAATAAGTGGACATGTATACACTGTCATGGAGAGGAATCAGGGGACGTCCATGTAGCTGCTAACGTAACGCCAGTTAACTCGATCCATTGCAGCTATATTTGTTAACGGACCTGTGGGCCGTTTTAGAATGCGAAGAGAAAATGAAAGCCACGCTTAACGACTGGTCAGTCTATAAGATGTCCCACAACAGTTATGTGAAAAGTATACGCAATATATATTTTAACTGACCTCGGATTCCAGTAGAGTAATAATAATAATAATGCAGATAAAAAAAACTGCTTAACAGTAAAACTACCAACTTGTTTAACTCTCAAATTACTGGCGTGTTTTTACACACTTTGCTACCACCAGGGTCGACATATTGCACAGTTTATTACATGTTACAATAGGAAGTGTAAAGAAGTAAAAAAGATAGTGTAAAATCAGTTATCCTATGTGCAAAATACATAGGAGACACACGCAATACTTAGTCCAATAAATGACGATGGTGGTGTATTTTGTTGTTGTTGTTCGACTCGTATGTTAATAGACGCCCTGAAACCAATAAATGCATGAACCATAAAGCAATTAGGTTCATGAGCAGTTTAGAAAAAAAAAAGTGGTTATGGACCCCACCTGGCGGTTTAGAGTTCAAAAGAAACCTTGGGTATTGAAATTTCTTGGACGATGTTAAAGCCATAGGTTTATTTAATCTGTGTCACAAATTCCTGGTGTTGACACTTAGCGGTGAAAATACTTTTAAATAAATGTGTCACTGTTGGTAGTAAGCCATATATTAGTCTGTCATACTGTGACGTCACGAACCATAGATTTAAACTAGTCGTCATATGTGTATCTATGTTGTCTATGTCTTGAAAATACTTGTTGACGTATCTATAGGTTTCATGTTGTAGTTAGTGCCTGTGAGGACTTGTAGGCATCGTAATCATTTCAGTTGACAGTGGTAACGAGAGTTTCTTGTCTACGAAACATTTCGGTAAAAAAAACCTCCCAAATACAAGAATTTTAGTACACAAACGACCTAAATTCATTTACATGCATGGTATAAGTAATTAGAAATTAATTGTCACCGAAACAAACTTGTTATTGTGTATATATATATTTTAGCCATAATCATGTGATTTCAGTGTATTCTTCATGTATTGTAGTCGTTACTTAACGTAAAATAATAAATATAAATAAATACTTTAATTTTTTTTTCATTACCTAAACAATCGGACACAACAATTCATAACTTTGCGTTGTTTGATATTACTCATCAGTAAAATAAAGCTTACCCGAATTCAATTTCTGTGGCTGTCTATTTCAGAATAGTCTCGACTACAGCGACTGGTGGGTGATAAGCCATTCAAAACAACAAAATATATAAATCACGAGGAATTAGGGCATCATATTATCTTCAAACATTTCTCCATATTATATGTCTATATACACACAAATGCATACATACAGTAATAACAAACACAATAAAATTCTTGTATAAATATTCGACACATAAAAAAGTCATCTAAAGTGGTATCTAAAAGACAACAAAAATTGACAAATAAAAATTCAGTAAAAACCTCCAGATTACTACTCTTCAAAATTCAGTAATTTGTTGAAAATCGAATCTCATCACTTTATAAGTAAAACACTAAAAAAATTCAGTGCCGTTTTATAACATTTAGGTATCAATCAAGCGTTTGTTTGTGTCTGTGTGTTTGTGTTCATTATATATATATAGGACGTTGCAACTTTAGGCCTATCAGTATCATCGTCATATTGTATTCTTACAATGAAATGTTTGCAGTTTAGTAGATAAAATTTTTCGAGATATTCATAGACGTGAAATATAAATTAGGTTCTTCTGTTGAAGTTGCAAAACAACGGTATTTAATCACAACATGATATTTTTAGGTTTCTAACTGATATGAATGATTAAATATAGCTTAAAAAATTATATTAACATAACGGTACAGCCAGCAGAAACTTTTTTGCACTGCGAGTTTCCCATAGGACTACTTTCCCCATCAATTAATGGAGCATATCTCTTAATATCCAGTAAAACTATGATTGGGTTGATTGAATTTTCGCGTGATTTACCAATGGAAGTTCCAGACTGGAGGAGTCAATGTATGTCTCATTCATATTAAACATTTTCCTCTGGACAACTTTTATTTTTAATGTGGTTTGAATAATTAAACGATAACATCATGTAAATAAAAAAAATCTAATATCACAGAGGGCTGTTTCGTTCTTCGTGCTATGTAGAGCAAATGAAAACCTGATTTTTTTAAAAATAAAACGTAAATGCAGTTTTTGGCAATTATTTTACAGTTATATATATATGTTGTTTTTTAAATACAAAAATATGAATTCTGTTTATTGTCGACCGCTAGACCATATAGGTATGTCGTAGAAATAACTGAAAATATATCGCCATAAATTGTATGCGAACTCATATATATATATATATATATATATATATGTACACACACATTACTAGGCGTAAATATATCGTCTTTCAGTAATCAGCAGAGACAGTAGTTAATTAAGTATGCCAAGTATTTTATACAAGTATCTTATAATATGTTAATTGAACTACACGTTTACGCCATTAAAGCTTGCTTTCTCTCTTTCGAAGTATATACACGTGTATAAATATATATTTTTTCCATTAAAATGTATAAACGGAAAAAGACAGTAGGATGTGGAAATTGTAATCTCACCGCTAATTATTGTTATAGTTTTTTTAGAATCTGATTCGTATGAGAAAACTGTGATAATGATGTAGGAAGCTTTTAAAAATATAATTAACTGAAAATGTACAAAACACCATTAACTTTGTATATTGTATAAAATATTTTTAAGCTTTCCTGAAATTCGATATAGGTGGCGCTAGTATAGCTCTGTTCAAACTACATTTGAATTATCCTGTTAATTCCTTGGATAAAAAATGAATAGGAAACTTCTGCCCCTCCCCCTCATTTTTTAGATATCAAGGATAAGAAAAAAAAATTGTATATACTACAAGCTCTCTGTAAGAGATTGGCAATGTGACGTCAAACATTTATGTAAACGAGGTTACGTGTCACTGTGTGTTCTAACTTGTGTACGTTGTATATGAAATAAGTATGAATTATTAGGCCCATATATTATATGCTGGAGTATTAGTCAATGTTTTCCCACAAGAGGGCCAATTTTTATTGATTTCTCTCGGATGGAGTAATGTAAGACGTTTTGCAGAACAGAAAACGTTGAGTTGAGAGGGTTAATAATGTATTTGTAAGAGCATTTATCATTGTCACTGATGTCCCAGATAATGAATTTACGTACGTTTGCAAGTAACTGAAATTTTAATTTAATATGAATATATTTGCCTGAAATATAGATATGCTGTCTTTTTTTTTATTTACTACGTTCGCATTTTTTGTATATTTTTAGAGACTTATTTTGTATTTCTAAATGCATCTTGAGTAGAGCGCTGATATCATCATCGAGTGAGAAGATGACGACTCCAGGTTTCACAGATTGGAAGGTGTGTCGGTAGTTTTTTAAGTTCGTGGTTTATTAATTGTATAACTATTAAAAATCGTTTATGAAGCAGAAACTAAATCCGTTCTTTTTTTTTTGAAGCGACATAATATCATCGAAAGCTTAACTGTAATTAGTG